TTGCTATAATGGCTCGGTAAGGGTTCGGGGTTCAGGGGGGTGAGGGTTGAGGCTTAATGGGGGGAGTTTGGGTGAGGGTTTCTGGTCGAGGTATGATTCCGATGGTTTTCAGCACTCCGGAGCCGCACGCCTGACCAAGAAACTGAGGCCACCTTTACCTCGCCACCACCACCACATAATGTAAGAGCTTTAATAATAATAATAATAATAGTAATAATAATAGTAATAAGAATAATAGTAATAATAAGATTAATAAGAATAATAGTAATAATAAGAATAATAAGAATAATAAGAATAATAAGAATAACAATAATAATAATATTAATAATAATAATAATAATAATAATAATAATAATAATAATAATAATAATAATAATAACAATAATAATAATAACAATAATAATAACAATAACCATAACAATAACCATAACAATAAGAATAATAATAATAACAATAATACTAATAACAATATCAATATCAATAACAATATCAATAACAATAACAATAACAATAATAATAATAATAGTAATACAAATAGTAATAATAATAATCATAATAATCATAATAATAATAATAATAAGAATAAGAGTAATAAGAATAATAAGAATAATAAGAATAATAAGAATAATAAGAATAATAAGAATAATAAGAATAATAAGAATAATAAGAAGAATAAGAAGAATAATAATAATAAGAATAATAATAATAAAATAATAAAATAATAATAATAATAACAACAATAATAAGAATAATAGTAACAATAACAATAACAATAATAAGAATAATAAGAAGAATAAGAAGAATAAGAAGAATAAGAAGAATAAGAAGATTTTGAAGAATAAGAAGAATAAGAAGAATAAGAATAATAAGAATAATAAGAACAATAATAATAATAAGAATATTAATAATGATAATAATAGTAATAATAATAATAATCATAATAATAATAATAATAATCTCATATGCTGCTCCTCGTGCAACTGCTGATACTGGTGCTGCTGCTCATATGCTAGCGCAACTGCTACTACTGCTGCGGCTGAGAGTACTTGCCATGTTCTTCGGCTGCAGATTTCGCCCGAATCACTGGGCTATGCGGCTTCTGAACTTCCGCGCAAGACCCTGAGCTGTGACACTCCACCTACCGAGACATGATACTGCTGTAGTTTCACGAATCGACGTTCGTTCATGGCACCAAATAAATCATCATCCTGGTAAAGAGGGTTCAGTTTTAGCAAGAAGACAAAGCCCCAGCAGAAAGGGGCGCTGCACGATTGGAGCCACTTCCCTTGCCCGGACCTGATGGCATCGCTGCGTGGCGCCCAGAGGATTCGCCCCCTTTAAATTCGCGAAGCTGTTAACCTCAGCTCAAAACTCCAAAAGCCCTTCTTCCCACCCTTGGGCTCTAAGCCGAAGCTCCGAAGCAGTGAGAAAAGTTTGGGTTCATTCCGAGGGTTGGAGCTTCATAGGGCCTACTTTAGCGAACTACCCAGAGAATGATCATCTAGTGTATGTTCTGCTATCTGCTATCCCTACTACTGTAGATGTTAGGACATGACGGACATTTTGCAGGCCCTTTCATGGTTGCCGAGCTGTGAAAGCTCTGGAAATTTCACCAATACGTTTCAGTCTGGGATTTGTGCATGTGAGGATTTGAGGTATATTGCTGTATCAATTTGGGATAATGTCTAATTTCCCTTGTGGTTTACGTAATACAGAACCCTAATTACATATAATTTTGCATCTGTTGATATCGACACCTACTGTAGCAGTTTCTGAGCAACATAGTGGCAGCTGGGATGAATGAAACCACGGAGTGGATTCGCACGCCTGGATGTGAACTATGAAGTCATGTGGTACACGAAAACACAATGAGCACCGGAGATGAATCCTCGGTGCCGTTTTGTCATGTTAGCATGCCAAAGATCCCACAGTTTTGGAGGTTCTAGGGCCTCTACCGCCCGCGGATTCAACCATCTATCCACGTGAGCTTGCCGGGACCGACTAATTACCAGCTTCTGCTCCCGGAAGTTGTCGAAAGAAGGTACAGGCCTGCGAATGACTCACTCAGCCGAGTCAGAGTGCCTGATACCAACCCGGTGACATGCTATGCTGCACAGTTCAGTGCTAGTTTGAAGGCATGCAAATTAAATCCAGCAAACACTTGGAAAACAGCACCATCTTTGTCGTGTTAGCACGCTTAGGGAGGGGCTTGATCCACTGCTGGTGCCGGGCCGCAGATTGCTTTGATCGGCTCAAGAAGAGGAGAGTCCTCAACTTCAGTTCGTTTTCCTGGAAGCAGCGACTGGCTAGTGGCTCAGATTGTGGGACACTTCGATCTAGACTTGGCGCCAGAGGATTTCTGTGCCCCTCTGAACCCGATGTGCACCCTTCTTATGCCTTTAAGTTTACTGGGGTGGAAGGGGATCGTCAATCTTAAACCCTAAATCCCAAGTCCTACAGGCCTATAGGGAACTCCAGAAAGTTGGAATATGGTTTCAGGGTAGGATACCTTATAATTTACCATAAAGGGTTTAGGATAGTCATATTCCAACTTTCTGGCTTTTACCTTAAACCCTAAACCCTTAAACCCTAAACCCTTAAACCCTAAACCCTTAAACCCATGAGATCAGAGGGTCGAGGGTTTCTCTGGTTCACTCCTCGGCTCCGTACACCGGCCTCGAAGCTGATGACCTCCTTATGCATAAATGCATACTACAGGGGCAATACTAGTCCTTTAAAGGGGTCCTTATGGGGGTCACTGTAATGGTACTAGAGTACAGGGGTTTGAATAATGAACAATACTATTTTTGCAGGCTTTTTATTACAACTGTAGTAAAAACGGGCCCCAAAACCCTATTCTATTTATCACGGCCGCTATATTACGTGCACATCACATAGCTGTTATTTCAGCTCGCTGCACCCGGACGACTCTAATTAGGGACTACCTGACTGAAGAATGACTTGCAGAGGAGCCCAACTCAGGCCCCCTACAGCAGGATGTTCTTCGAAGGACTATCCGCACCTCTACTTCTAAGAGACCCACTTTCTCTGCTAGTAACAGGAACCCTGCGCAAGCCCAGGCGTATTTAGGGTTCCAGGCGAGAGGATTTGGGGTGCCAGGTATGCACCGCCCCTGTTGGGACATACCACGCACCAGACATGGCTGTCTGTACTGCATGCTTGCATATATATATATATACATATGTAAATATTTCTGACTCTCTCTCTCTCTCTCTCTCTCTCTCCCTCTCGCTCTTTCCCTATATATATATATATATATATATATATATCAATATATATATAAATATATATATATATATATATATATATGCATGTATATATATATATATATGTGTGTGTAGATGTATGTGTCTATGTATAGAAATCTATACGAACAACCCTAGCAGTTAAGCTCAAAGCCCTAATCTTAAGCTTAGGTTTTAGGGTTCAGGGTTCAATGCTTCCCTTAAATACCCTAAACCCTAACCCTAAACCTTAAGCCCTCCCTTTAAAATAGACTTCAGCACCCCAAACCCTAAACCCTAAACCATAAACCCTAATCCCTAAATGCTAAACCCTAAACCCAGGCCCGGAAGGCAACATGTCGGCGAAAGAATTGGAAGAGATCGCCGCGCGCGATGCTGAGGATGTCATCGAGCAGGCGGTTGGTCTTGTATCTCTTCCTTCGAGGGATCGTCTTGTTTGGGATGGTCGACAAGGATTACTGAAAGGGCAGTATGGTGGTTTCATTCTCAGAGTTTCTACAATGCTTTCTGTGAGGCATCGGGGTTCGGGGTGGAGTTTTGGGAGGGTAGGGGTTGGGTTAGAATTCAGGGTTCGGGTTGCGGGGCGGGGTGTTAGGCTAACCGTTAGAGGCTCAGCGCAAGTTTCCGGGTGAAGGGTCACGGCTTGGATTTCTCCAATACGGGAACTCCTGTTTGTGTGCATCAGAATATCAGAAGTATATGAGACTGCAGATATCAGGAGGTGGTCGAAGAACAGCTTACAGAGACATCGAACCAGTACTCTATCGACACGCTGCTATGGCCGTGATGTCGTAAGGTGCCATTTGTTAGCAGATTGGACGTAGAACATAGCCTGAAGCCCCGCGCAGACCCTCAACCTTAAGCCTTCCCCAAATATGGTTGCCGAGTGCTTCGGAACCTGATTTCTGATCCCGCGGTCACACTTGCACTGACTTCTGGCTTTCATGGGGGGGGTTCCTGACTATATGTATAAAACCCTACTCTAATCATTAAGGCCCCTATATGCTAGTACCTTCATAGTAGCCCTTATAAACCCCGTTAATACAGGGAACCCTACTCTAATCATTAAGGCCCCTGTATTAGCCCTAAACCCTAAACCCTAAACCCTAAACCCCTAAACCCTAAACCCCTAAACCCCTAAACCCCTAAACCCTAAACCCTAAACCCCTAAACCCCTAAACCCCTAAACCCCTAAACCCTAAACCTAGACATAGGTCTCCGGGGTTCGTTCAGGTGTCGGGCTTCCTCTTACAGGGTCCGTGGTTTCGGAACCTGCTTCTCGATGTCCAGGCGGATCTATGAGGGTTCCCTTTCAAGGGATCTATAAGGGTTCCTTTAAAGGGATCTATAAGGGAATCTTAGTAGCTGGGTTTGGGATAATGTTACCCACAAAGAAACTGAAAGAGTATTCTTTTTGGGGCTTATGAACTCAGCGACTAAGAATGAGAACAGTCTTGCATCGCCGCCTCCTTTTTGCTGGCTCCGAGCTGCGGGCATTTTGGGGTCAGGGATTTTGAGGTGCAGCATGGAGGATGGTTTGGTTTTGGGCCTTGCCGAGCCTTGAAAGACCACAAGCCTTTGGTGAATCCAGGCCCCGACCTCAACATGAACATTTAGGGTTTAGGGTTTAGGGTGAACAAAATCTGAAGTACGCCCTTGAACGGTTTAGGGTTCGGGGTTGAGGGTGGGTTTAAGTCTAGGGTGGTCTCGGGTAGGCACAGGCCTTGAGACAGGATGCCAGCCGCCGCCGGGGGCAGCAGTGGTCTCTTGGAGGCCTTTCGGAAACCGGACTTCAATGTCGCCGCCTTCGTCAAGGCTGACGGGGCTCACGAAATTTAGGAATGTAGGACTTAAGGCCCCGGGTTTCGATTGATGGGTTTCGGAGGTTTCAGATCTCGAAATTCGGGTGCTAGGTGCTTCAGTTTTCCTGGCTTCTGATTGGCCTTGTGTCAAGAGACTGTCAGAGACAACCAGAAGGATTTTCCCTATGCACGAGACTCACGACCCACAGATGAGATTGTTCACGGGGCACCCCTAAACGCGGCGCCCCCCTTTCTTCATTCTTCCTAATGACCAGCGGCGTCACCTTCCACAGAAAAATAAACTTGTATTGGAACGGCAAAAGCACATCAGTTGTGAATAACTGGGCTTGCTACTTGTAGGAGGATTTGCCTGGCTTGATGAGCAGAGCGCCTGTTTCATACGTGTATGCTTTTCCTATCTATCTATCTATCCATCTATCTGTCTATCTATCTATCTATGCGCACATGCTATCTGTCCAGGTATAGTCGTATATACATACACACGCACCTATATTATATATACACACGCATGCACACACACACACCTCTCTCTATGTATGTGTGGTGTGTATGTATGTATGTATGTATGTATGTATAGGTATATATGTATATAAGTATGGCTACGAATTTGTGGTATGTATGCATATATCTGTATATGCTATATACACTACATGCGCATGTGTATGTATGTATATAAATACACACATACACATGTGTGTACATATAAACAGGTTTTTATGTTGTGTGTGTTTTTTGGATGTACACAGGTTGTATATACAAATATTTCGTACATGTGTACATGTGTGTATATATGTATATACAGTTGTATGTTTATATGTATATCTGTACATCTGTGCATGCATGCATGTATGTATGTATGTACGTACGTATGTATGTATGTATGTATGTATGTATGTACGTATGTATGTATGTACTGGTATGCGTATATGTGTATACATGTTTTCCGTGCATTTGTACTTATGCACATGTGTATATGTACTGTATATATACATATATACATATAAAAATATATATATATATGTATGTATGTATGTATGTATATATATATACCTGTATAAGAATATACGGCGACAAGCATACATGTATGTGTATGTATGTATGTATGTATGTATGCATGTATGTATGTATGTATGTATGTATGTATGTATGTATATAGGTATAAGAACAAACTGTGTGACTGTGTACACATCTGTACATCTAAACATCTATGTATATGTATATGTGCACATATACATCCATGCACAACCGACCATGCACACATACACATGTATACATACAGATCATGCACATATAATCTGTTTACACACACGCATACACATAGTGATTTTTGCAATACAAGCCCTATCGAATTATGATGACCCGACTCCCGAGTCTCCAAGCACACACCTACCCGAAATCCGAATGACAAACTGATTCCTAAGGATTCCAAGCTGAACCGAATCCCGGGACCTTTCTAACTCACAAGCCCCATGCCAAGCCCTGAATCACAAGCCCTATGGCGCCAAAGGGCCTAAGCCCCCAGGCCCTCAAGCCTAAACCCGAAATCCTAAGCCCGAAGCCCCTAAACCCTAAACCGATCCTCCGTAAACCCTAGAACCCTAAACCCCAAATCCTAAACTCTACCTTAACCCCAAATAACCTACCTTTTTAGGGACTATAAAGAAATCAGGGGGCCCTAACAAGGTAGGTTCCTTAGGGTCCAGGTAGTCCCCAAGCCCGGAACCCCTCTAAGCCCCACGCCTTCAGGAGGCCACGTCAGGTCAGGAGAAGGCCCTGCGCTTGTCCCAGCAGCTCCAAGATTCGGCAAGCAGCCTCGAAGAGGATTTGCACCTGGGTCTAAGGTGGAGGTCATTTTGGGGGAGTTTTTCAGGGTTCCTTTAAGGGTGCCTAGGGAATCTAGAAGGGTATAGGGTTTAGGGCGACGGCTACTGCAGCTCACGGTTTAGTGGGGGTTGGGGGCTTGGGGGTTTAGGGTTTAGGGGTTTACTGGTTTGGGGGTTTGGGGTCAAGGGCTGCTGTGGGTTAGGGTTTAGGGGGGGTTAGGGGCTTGGGAGTTTCGGGTTTAGGGGTTACCGTAGATTAGGGTTGAGGGGGATTGAGGGGCTTGCGGGTTTGTTGAATGTATGCGGGAGGTAGCCGAGGGTGCTGGATTCACTAACGGAACCTAAGGCATCGCAGATTTCTTAGCCCGTAAATCCTCTAAACCCAAACCCTGAACCCCTAAACCCCTAACACCCAAGCCCCTAAACCCTAAACCCCCAAAGCCCTAAACCCTAAACCCAAGGGAAGAAATCCGCCTTGCGAGGCGTCGCGAGATCGCCTCCTGCCATGAGGAGCTCCACCCGCAAAGCAACAGGGCTGTAGTGGCCTTGGGGGTCTAGGGTTTTGGGGTTTACAAGGGTTTGAGGGTTTATAGCGGTCTAGGGACCTTGGGTTCAGGGTTTGGGGTTTATTTAGGTTTGAGGCTTTCGGGGTCACGGGCTCGTTAGGGGCTTGAAGGAAGAATGAGGCTTGGGGTCTCTAGCAGTTTTGTTGTGCAGGGCAAGCCATCCTACAAGTATATGTGCACGGTGGCTGAATTCAATCGATGTAGATGTTTGACATATTGCTTTTGAGGACAGGTAATTTCAGCTTTAGCTTGATGCTCGGGTGTTTAGGTCTCCGGTTCGATGGTGGGCTTGGCGATTCCAAGTTGGAGGTTGCTCAGCAGTTGCTAACAACACCCACAAATTTCAGTTTGTCCTATACTGGTCAATTCAAAGTTGTGCGCCCTTTAGTTTCCCAAGTCCTAAAAAGCCTTATGCCCTAAGACCCTGAGGCTGAAGCCCTAAGCCCCCACAAATCACGAAGTTTCCGCTTTAACAACCCTGGACCCTCATGTCAAAAGCCCGAATTCGACCTCAAAGCCCTAAACCCTCTCTAAAGACCTTGAAACCCTCCTAAACCCCTTTGACAGTCTATAGACCCGAAGCCTTACAAACTCTAGAGGCAGGGAGTCTGCGGATCGAAAGTCCCCCACTGCACACTTCAGAGGAACCCTAAACCTTAATCCATGAACCCTAAACCTTAAAGCTATAAACCCTAAACCCTAAACCCTGAAAAGCAACTGTAGAGGAGCTTCTACTTTGCGCGGGGAGCATCAGCGACCTCGAGGGGCAGCTGGGTGAGGCGAGTGATCCTCGGACATCGTGGTTTGGGATTAGGGTATCTGTCGTTTTTGGGGTTTTGCGCTTTAGGATGGTTTTAGGATGATTAAGGTAGTGTAGGGGTTGGAGGTTTAGGGTTGCTAGGGGTTAAGGATCAGGGGGTTCAGGGTCTCTACGGTTTGTTGAAAATTTGCTGTGTTAGGATTTAGGGTGTTTGCAGGGCTTAGGGCTTGAGGGGGTTTGTTTTTTTTAACCTGGTTCAGGGCTTCAGAGGTACACACTTTGCGGGTCTACAGACAGATTTCAGCGTCTGAATCTACAAAACCGAAGTTTCCGCAGCTCGAGCCAGAAGTTTCCAGTTTGATGCCGCCGCCAAGGACATCGTCGGAGCACTCAAAGGTTCTGTCGCGCGACTACGGAGCGATATGCTGGTCCCCTTCAAGGAGGGGCTGAAGCCAAAAACAACAGTTCAACCCCATGCTGTTGTCTTGTGAGCCCTTTTTCAGGGGAAGGGCTAAACAAATGATAAAGCCTAAAACGCAAAGCCTTTTCTGCTCGATTCGCTAATTTGTAACAAACAAAACAGGATTTCAGCACTTCGGCCACTTGGGTTTTGGAATTGTTGCTTGTAGGTTCTTGCGGTCTAGGTAACCCTGAACCCTCAACCCTAAACCCTAAACCGTGGGGTTTAGGTAGTTTATAACAGGCTGTACTCAGGGCCGGGTTTCTACTGTTCCTTCAACGTGAAGCATGCAAAGGGCTGCTTCCTTGAGGCCTGGGCTGGCGCTTCTGAAACATGGGAAGTTTAGCACCTAAGCTCTAGCTTAAACTACCGCAACCTACTTTCTGCAGGTTCTCATATTATACACTCAAATATAGAGTTTATAGGGACCCTAAAAAAGTAGGTTCTGCTGGTTGAAAGTAGACCCTGAGCCGCAGGAAGTAAAGGGGAACGTCGAGCTGCTGGAGCGCATGCAGGCCGTGAACGTATTAGTCCGAAAACTGTTGCGCTTCCTCTTCGATGCGCGAAAGCTGCGCAGCCAGATGGATGCCCCCGGCAAGGACTTTTCCAAGGCGGCGCACACTCTGCATGAGCTGGAGTCGGTATTGCAGGAGCAGACTTGAGGGTGCCGGTTTCGGATGACTTGAGGGTGCCGGTTTCGGATGTGGGGTTGTCTCATAAGTTCATATTCATACGGAGAAATCCCACACCTCTTCTTACCTGTCCTTGTAGCCCATAGAAACAAATTGATAAACCAAAAAAGCCAATAGATACACGTAATAAAAGCATAGTATGTATGTATGTATATATGTATATGTATAACATATACATATATATATATATCTCTCTCTCTCTCTCTCTCTCTCCTCTCTCTCTCTCTATATATATATATATACACGTATCTGCGCATACACCTATCAGGAGAGCAGCCTGGAGAAAGTGGACATTCTTCGGGCCGAGGTCCTCTTCATCCGGGATGTGGGGGCACGCGTCCGGCGGCAGTCCGAGGAGGACCTGCGGACTGGAGTGCGGCAGGGGAACCACATCGCCCTGAGTGTGGCCTTGCAGGTCCCACTTTTAAGGTTGACCTATAGTCTCCATTGTAGCTCATCTTTTTGGTTAACCAGTTTTATGGTTAGGATCCTATATAGTAGAGATTTTGGTTAACCAAAAAATGGAAGGTAGGGTAGATTAGGGACTTGTAAAGCCGGCTGAAGGTTTGTTGGGGGGTCTGAACTTGAAGTAGGGCTCCTACTCCGATGTCTGAACCCCATAAGCTCTAAACGCGCGAATATCACCCCGTAAACCCTAAACCCCATAAGCCCTAACCCCACCATTCCATCACCCGTCAGGTGTTCTTCAACTTAGAGAGTCTGTGGCCTCAGCTGAAGAAGCTGCTGGCGGAGCTTCTGGAGGAAGTCAGGCAGGCGCCTTTGTCAGCTGCAGGCTTTCTACAGGGCTTCTTAGCAGCTGAATGAGTACACTTTACAATTTTTGGGGATAATCTTCTAGGCTGTAGAACTGAAAGTTTGCACTTTTTTGGCGCATGAACCCGGGACATAAGGCTTGGATGTGAACCTCCAGGCGCGAACTCTCGAAAGTCCTCCAGTGCAGAGTTTGCTGTTTGTCGGGTTGGAGCTTATAACTTATAGTTTGTAAGTCAGATTTTAGGGTTCAGCGTTGAATCTGTAGGATTCAGCCAGGTCTCGAGTTTGCACAGTCCAGGTGCTTGTGGCTCAGACGCAGCGCGTGCATGCCTTGGAGGAGATCGTAGCAGCCAAGATCGACCCGATTACGCACAGTTGGGTATCATTTCACATTTTTATGGGTACTTAAACCAATAAGGAATAAGAACGGAAATGTTTAATCCTATCCCAACCATGAACAAGGACCCGATTACGCACAAGAGCTTCCAATCTGTCTTGGAGGATGCTGGGGTTCGCTCTTTGACGGCCCACTTCTGGACGGAAGCTGCCAATGTCTTTAAGGCCAAGCTCGGGAAGGTGTGCCAGGACCGAGCTTTCCGATCGAAGGCCATCTCAGACTGCCCGAAGGTGCTCCAAAGTTTGGTCTCCGCTGTAGAGAAGCTGGGCCGGGGAAAAGTCATGAAGTCAACAGAGCGCGAGCAACTTTACCAGTCTGCTGCAGAATTGCGGAACGAGTTTTTGGGCGAGTCCATCCGACGCGTAACTGATCCTATCGAGATGATGCTGCCGGATAAGCTGCTGTCAAGCCTGAGTGCTTCCGGTGAGCGCATCGGGGGAACTGGCGAGACAGTGACGGACGAGCTTCCCACCATGCATGATCTGCGGCGTTACGTGCAGCTGCTGGTGACGGAGTTGGAACGTGTCGAGTGCTGCCCAGATCTCCTGCTGAAGGATGTGGTGCGAAGCGTCCGGAGTTCCGTGCTGTTCTTCGCCACTCGATTGGAGCAGGTTGTGCCTGTGGCTGCAAATACTTACCGCTTTGGGGTTTCTCCCCATCAATTATTTCAGGGATGACTCAAGGAGTCACAGCTTTCTCTGTGTTCTGTACAGTTTGGATGCGAAGCCTTACACTCGGCCCTAACCCTAGACCCCGCTGAACAGGTAGATTCATCCTCTGCATTCCAGTGCCTGACGGAAGAGGATGGGCTCTTGCGGTTAAAGTCGCCGCTTCCCATGCCCACTGCCGGCCACGCCCGGAATGCCCGGCTACTGGGTGTTATAACAAGGAAGTGAGTTCAAGCTGCCATACTTGTAATGTGTGTGTATATATATATATATATATGTAAGTACGTGTGAGTGTATAATGTGTATATATGTATGTATGTATAGATAGATAGATAGATACATGGATGTGTATGCGTGTGTATATATGTATATAGATGTAGAGTATATCGCAAATGCTTTCGTTATGATGGTAGTCATGCACTTTTCTAGAAACACGAATACATGCCCCGATCTTAAGTCGTGGCAACTTCATGTTCGTGCCTTAACAAGATCTCTGGACTGACTAGATCCTAAGCCCTCAACTTTAAACCCTAAACTCCATCTAAACCCTGAACCTAACCAGGTTGTTTGGCATCGCCCATCACACTTTGACGGCCCTTCGGGAATTGGTGCCTTCGCGATTCTTCGAGTCGGTGGCCACCGATCAGGTTAGGGACGGCTTTGGGTTTAGATTCACAGTTTAGGGTTCCGTTAGTTTCAACTTATCTTCGGAGCCCTACATCAGCAGTAAACTACCCTAAACCCCCTTAAGGATCCGTTTACTCCGGATCTGATCTAAACCCAGATGAAGAGCTGAAGGCTTTCGGGGGTGGTAGTGGAATCAGCTTCTACTCTTCTGACACACGCCTCTTCTGGGCCCGTGCAGGTGCAGAACACCCTGAAGCAAGCCCAAGCGGCGGTGGTGATGCCGATCTTCGCGAATCTCCAGGGCTCCCTTTCAAAGGCCTAAACCCTAAACCCTAAACCCTTACACCCCTTAACCCTAAACCCCTAAACCCTAAACCCTAAACTGTAAACCCTAAACCTTAAATCCTAAACCCTAAACCCCAATCTCCAGGGCTCCCTTGCGAAGGCCCTCATCGCCGCCTGCATCCAGGGAGAAGGCGAGAGCCAACTCCTCGCCGTGAGCCAGGCCCTGATACCTCCGTGACCCTAGAACTCTTGAGCCTTCAGGGGTTTAGGGGTTTTAGGGTTTAGGGTTTAGGGTTTAGGGGGGTTAGGGTTCAGGGGTTTGGGGGTTTCGGGGTTTAGCGGTGTAGGGGTTTGGGGTTTAAGGGTTTAGAGGTTTAGGTGTTCAGGGTTTGGGGGCTCAGGGTTCAGGGTCAACTCTACAAACCTCCTGAGCCTTAAACCCGAAGCCACAAAACCCTAAGCCCTAAGCCCCCTAAATCCGAATCTGCCAACCCCTCAAGCCGTGAAACTCGTAACCCTAAACTCTAGCACCGTGCAATCCTACAACCCTAAACCCTTTATCCTAAACCTCCTTCCTAAACCCTAAAACCCCTAAGCCCCTAAACCCTCAACCCTAGGGAGCGAACCCTAAACCCAAAAGAAGAAACCTGAAGCGAAAAGAAGTAGCCTAAATCCAAAAGAAGAACTTTAAGCCCAAAGGAAGCACCCTATGTAAAGCTCTCCAGGCAGCTGCTCATTTGAGTCGCCACTTCTTCTCTCTCTTCGGGGCGGGCCAGCTCCAGGGCACCTTCCTTGCTGAAGAAGTTTGGTGTTTAGGGTTTGGGGATGTTTGGGCTTTAGGGTTTGGGGTTTAGGGATATCAGGGTTTAGGGCTTTCAAACCCTGAAAAGAAAGTCTGCTAGAAAGTGAACAATGTATATAGGTTCTAGGCTTTCTTCTTATGGGTTCAGAAGAAGCCTAAACCCGGGGTTATTAGGAATCTTTAGGGTTTCAGAGTCTGACGGCTCAAGAAATTAGGGTTGTTAGGGTTGTTAATATGGGGGCCTAAATAATTATATACCAAAACCATTTTGGGGGTTCCTGATGATGATTATATATAGTATACTGGGCCCCAAAACCCTATTCTAACTATTAAGGCCCCTAAAGAAGGGGTTTTAGGGGTTTAGGGTTTTTAGGGCTCAAGAATTTCGGGTTGTTGGGTCTACAGGCTCAGGGTTTAAGTCTTCAGGGTTTTATGGTTTAAGGTTTAGGGTTTAGGGTGGGTTTTATGGTTGAAGATTTGCCTTGCGTTGTGTGTGGTGGGGGGCTTCCCAGAACTCGTGGAAATCAAAAAGGTTTCACATGGGCATGTTTGGGCTGAGGCTGTTCAGGATTGTTTGGGATTTGAGGGTTCAGCAACAAAGCGAGCCGAAAACGAAGCCCCAAGCCCCTAGGCCCTAAACGCGAAACCGTAGCTGTAAGGTCACCTCCGGGACTTTTGCAGCTCTGCGCTGCGGTTCTTCTTGTCCGCAGCCGCTTTGTCACGGTCTCCGCTCCGCCAAGAGCTGACGACCCTCGAAAGCCTGCTGCAAAGCATCGATCCCGACTACGCCTCCCACCTCCGCTACTGAGCTCTTTTTGAGGATCTTAACTAAAGCTACCATAACTTGGATAGCATCCGACGTCCTCTCCCACTATCTATCTATCTCTTTACCCACCGGTCTAGATATGTACACATACCTAGACATATATATATATATATGTAATGTGTATATGTATATGTAGATGTATACGGACATGTACACAGGTCACCATGTGTTTTGATACATATACTTATGTATATATATATATATATATAGGTATATTTCTTATACCCTCATATTTATTTTATGTATAAGCATATAAGCATATGTGTATACATATATATACATGTACATGTACATGTACATGTACATATATATATATATAGACACTGGTATATGCATACATATGGCAACTTCGTTTAACAAGAAACCCAGGCTACGAGGCATCCGTCCTGAAGGAGTTTGCGAACCTTTTGAGCACCACGGCTGTGGAGTCCCAAGACTTCGAGGAGGGCGCCCGTTTGTACTTGGAGGTTCATGGGCAGTTATAAGGGATCCTTTAAGGGTCCCTTCAAAAGGATCTATAGGGATTCTATAAGGGTATGGGGTTTAGGGCCTGCTTGGAGGTTCATGGGTAGTTATAAGTAGGGTTATAAGTCCCGTAATATGGGCTATAAGTATAGTTTTCCTGCTTATAACTCTACTTATGACTACCCATGAACCTCCAAGTGTTATCATGTAGACACTTGATCAATAAAACCTCTTTGCGTTTTGGGTTTTGGCCCATATTGATTTAACGTAGGCCCTCGATCAATGAACCCCTTAGGGTGCATGAAGGGGGTTTACTTGTCAGGGCTGGGCGTAGCTGCTTCAAACTGCCTAGGCCCCATGCCCCCTGAACCCTGCAAGCTTTTAGAGCTAAACCTTAACCCCAAGCCCCGACCAACAAACCCCAGACCCTAAACCCAGCCCTGAGCCGCTAAACCCTAAAAACCCTAAACCTCTAAACCCTAAACACTAACCGTCACTGACCCCCAAACCCTTATCCCTAGCGGAGTCCTATACCGCAGTATTCACTCGGAAGAACAGGAGCTCGCCAACGTCATCCCCTTGCATCTGCTACTCACCTTCCTGCTCCATCGGTTAAAGGCAACATGACCGAGCTTGCCCGGATGGAGTTTAGGGTTTAGGGGTTTAGGGTTTTGGGGTTTAGGGTTTAGAGTTTCAGGTTTAGGGTTGAGGGCTCAAGTTGAGGGTTTGAGCGGTGGGTATACGGGACAGGTTCAAAGTTCAGGGTCCAACGCCTACGTGTGCAGAGCTTGAAGCTGCAACATCGAAAATCGCAAGCACCCCAAATACTCCGGAAAGCAACGCAGCAACTGACCGTGTGGAACCAGAAGCCCAAAGCCCAAAGCCCATGGAGCCCGAGGTACTTGGGGATTCAGGGGCTGCTAAACGGGAGCTTCAGCCCCTAAGCAGTAGGTGCAAACTGCTTCCGACATCATCCACAGAGACTGCTATGAAATTCCACATCTCCTTAGCACCACCAAAAAATCCTGCACACTTGGGTTTTCGGAATGCCGGAGTCTGGCTAGGTTCCGAGCCTGCCGGAGTTCTTGGGGCAGTCGCCAGCGCAGTATCTCGAAGCAGCTGTGCAGCTATGGGACGAGAGGCTTGGCTGATTTACTTGTATTATCTACATGGCACACACCTACATATGGCTAACCAACAGTAAAGCACCGATGTGATTGCTCGCAAACTGCAGTGTGGCAGCAGTAAGAAGAAGGTGACAGCGTGATTAGGCATACGGCTACGCGAATAGTATTGGCCTCGAAACCTGAAGCCCTCAACCACCACTCCCTAAATTCTATAAACCATGTAAACCCTGTGGACCCTATAAACACTACAAATCCTGTAAGACTTATAAGTCTTATGAATCCTGTAAATCCTGTAAACCCTCTAAACCCTATAAGCCCGTGAAGCCCTACAAACCCTACAAACCCTAACAATAAGCCACGACTTCTGCTGCTGAGGAAGCCGCGGGCACTGGAGGCCTTCAAGGCCAACGTCGCCAATCTCTCCGACAAGTCAGCCGGCGGGTGGACGAGTTCGGTCGTCGAGTTCTTGAGGTTTGGGGTTTGGTGCTTTGGATTTAGGGTTTGGGTTTAGGCTTTAGGGGGGGATGTGCAAAAAGCGTTTTAGGCTCCAGAGTTTAATATGGACTTAATCAAAGACCCTGCATCATTCGTCAGGGTTCCGTGGTATATGTATATAAACAACAATAGACCCCAGAACTCTTGACCGACTTTTTGTTCAAGCTCGACGGCACTGGGTTGAGAGGGCTGGCTGGGTGGGCTCGGCTGGGGTTCTCGGAGATTGATGGGTAGTTTTATGTAGGCTTTATAAGTCCCCCAAAAATATAGGCTATAACTATAGCTATCTCGCTTACAAACGTTACTTTTCCAGCCATCTTTACTTATATAGTTATCGTACTTAAAAGCCACTTATTTAGCTATCGTACTTTAAGCGCCCTACTTATAAGTACCCATGAACCTCCAAGTTAGGGTGGGAGCTGTGCGAGTCAGGGCTTGGTCCTAGGGTTTAGGGTCCTAGGGGTCCTAGGGGTCCTTGGGGGTCCAGGGTTTAGAGGAGGGTTTAAGGGTTCGGGTTTAGGGTCTAGTCGTCTAGGTTTTCAGGGTTTAGAGGTTATCGTGTAGAGATTTTACCGTCAAAGATTTGGGGACTCTGGGTTTCAGAGGGTTTAGGGTATAGGGTTTAGGGTTTAGGGGGCTTGACTTTGGGAATTCTCGTTTGAGGGTGCATGGCAACCGCTGAGTTTCGGTCCCTTGGAGGACTGGGATGCCGAAGGCCATATTATGCTTTGGGGGTTTCAGGGTTTAGGGCCGAGTTTAGGGTTTAGGGTTTAATATTTGCATTAGGGGCTCCTCCTTTAAGTGCTCTTTTTTTAGTAAATCCGAGAGCCAACGTCGTAAATCTCAGCAAAACTTGCAGCTGAACCCGCAAAGCAGAGGATCCCCCCCCCACATTGCATCTGAAGGCTTCAAAGCTGCAGGGCACCACGACCCGAAATTCCCAGAAAGCATGAGTTGCGCTGCAAGCTCCAAGAAGTGAAAAATTATGAGTAGGGTTATAAGTCCCCTCTTATGGGTGACAAGTATAGTTATCCTACTTATAACCCTAATTCCAAGTACACATGAACCTCCAAGTAAACCGTGCACGAAAATCCCAAAGACCCCATGCCTTACCGAGACTGAAAGACTTGTAACCTATGCTTCAGGACCCTCAAAAGTTCCCTAGCTCAGAGTGCCCTCATAGTAGCCCGTTCGAGTAAGCTTCACAGCTAGGCCCTTACAATGTTTATAGGAACCTGTTATACTGTTGATGAGATAAATCCTGCTTTATCTTAATGACCCTAGACTATAGGAATTATGGTATATTCCTTATGATGGGCAATGCAGGAGTTAAATCCCTCGACCCTGAAACCCTATAGAACCTTTAAAGGAACCCCTTAAAGGTACCCTTATAGATACCTTTAAAGGAACCATTCCAGGATTTGTATCATCAACCGTAGAACTTCGATGTGGGTGGTTGTTAAAATCAGGGTCCCTTTTTGGGTCCTGAATTTAATACGGCCCCCAATATTTAGGGTTCCTAAAAAGGGGACCATAATTTTGACAACCACCCATATAACCTGTAAGCCTCTGTATTAAGCCCCCCCATCCCACTAGGCCCTAAACCCTTGAAGAACCCTCATAACACCCCTCAAAACCTCGCTAAACCCTAAACCCTAAACCCTAAACCCTAAACCCTGCTCCCAGGTACAACCTGGACCCCACCGAGTCGCCCCTAGTTGCGTTTATCATAGCACGCAGCAGCTCCTGACGAGGGCCGAAGCGAGGCCGAGAAAAGGTCCGATCCCCCGGGGGGTGCTTACCTTTGGGTAGTAGGGAATGGAAGAATGGTAGTAATAGTATCTATAAAAACTGCGAACGGACTGCGATGCCTTGTCATGTTCTAAGGTGTCACTATAAGAGCTGTGAGCAAGACCGTGTAAAGTGCAAGAGAAGGGGGCACGCTACGCGTCCCTCGACTCTAGGGGGCATGCTACGCATCCCTCATCTTTACCTTTCTATGTGACCGCCAACGCAACGTTTGGCTCAAGTCAATGCCCATAGCTAAGTGCTATATGTGTCTTCTATCCTGAGCAATCAGAGCTATCCCGTTGCACAGACGAACCGCCGCCGGCAGTGAGTGCAAAAGGAACGGCCGCCGGTTCTGCCTGCATAGGATTGCACGTGTGGAAGTGTGAGAGAGACAGGGTCCAGTCTGTGGAGAGTGCAAGCCAGCCACACCTACATTCATTACAGCTCTGGTGGGGAGAGCAGCAACCAAGTCGAGATCAATCCCCCACGCAGGTTATCAGCCGTACGCGGCTCTGCCTTTCTACAGCAACGACTACTTGATCTACTACGACCACAATGAACTCAGGATCAAGCCAAGATACGACAATGACTTTCGGTGCCGATGTGGCAGCGCCAGCCGTTGGTGAGTCAACAGCTGATGACACAGTGGTGCAATCCGTTGATAGCTCCACGGAAGATGACAAAGGTCAATCTTCTGCGCTTGCCATTGCAAAGGCAGTTCCCAAGGGGAAAGCAAAGAGTCTACCAAGAGCATCTACGCCTTCACGTCCGACATCCACAGGTTCGAGGACGGGCAAGGCTTCAGAACGACGGGCCGAAGCGTCTGGTTTTCAGGCACCTCGGACTACGTCCAGGGCCAAGGACAAAGGAGTCAAGACCTTGGAAAAGAAGTCAAGACCATCATCTTCGAGAAGCTCTTCAGCACGATCGAGGACTTCGGCTACTCGTGGGCGTGACAAGTCCATGACTTGGAATCGGATGGTTACCAATCAACCACGCGATACTGACGATCTGGACATGACTCTGGATACGATTCCTGCACGTGGTGATGCGTCATCCGTGGCCACGCCTGCAATAGCTGACGGTCCGAATGCCTACCAGGAG